AGTGTGTGTGTGTGTGTGTGTGTGTGTGTGAGTGAGTATGTGTGTGTGAGTGAGTGACTGTGTGTTAGAGTGTGCTAGTGTGTATGTGTATGTGTGTGTGTGTGTGTGAGTGTGTGAGTGTGAGTATGTGTGTGTGTGTGTGTGTGTGCGTGTGTGTGTGAGTGACTGTGTGTGTTAGAGTGTGCTAGTGTGTGTGCGTGTGAGTGAGTGTGTGTGTGTGTGTGTGTGTGAGTGAGTATGTGTGTGTGTGCGTGTGAGTGAGTGAGTGAGTATGTGTGTGTGTTAGAGTGTGCTAGTGTGTGTGTGTGTGTGTGTGTGTGTGTGAGTGTATGTACCTGCCGGAGGTGGTGAGGATGATGATGGCTCCAGCGCAGCATTTGAAGGACGACTCGACAGCTCCGATGGCCGTGACCTCTGTGGGGTCGGAGCTCAGCGGGGTCAAACGGCGCAGCTCTTCAAACAGCTGCTGATGAAAGATGGCCGCCTCGGCCTCACGACAGATCTGACACACACACACAGACAGAGAGTGAGACAGTGGTGACGTCCAGTCAGGGGTCAGAGGTCACGCTGTCACACGTACCGAGTGCATCATGGCAACAGCTTCTACAGGGAAGTGTCCTTTGGCCGTTTCTGCAGACAGCATGACGCAGTCGGCTCCGTCCAGCACCGCATTGGCCACATCGCTGCTCTCTGCACGGGTGGGACGTGTGTGATGGACCATACTCTCCAGCATCTGAACACACACACACACACACACACACACACACACTGAATCAGGTCGTGTGTGTGTGTGTCGATGCAGCGCTGCAACACACTCAACATCAGCTGTCAGAAACACCTGTTCTTGGAAACTGGGACGTATGAAGGAAATTTAAAAAACTGATTTCTATTCTTCATGGAAAAACTACAGTATGTAAAAAAGTATGAAATCCCTATAATCACAGATGAATAGAAATGTCATGTAAATTCTTTCTTTAAGTTTAAAACTTAAAGAACATTCAGTCACAGAAACTTAGGGAATTTATATAATTGTAACTATTTTATTTATATAATTAACTAATTTTAAATGTTATTTTAATGAAATATTATTTTAAATAGAATTGATATAATTTTAATTACATATTTTAGGTATATTTAGATATATTATTATACATATTAAATACATCAGATTTAAATTATCCTTATACATTTATTTATAAGTTAAATATAGAATAAAATAAATGTACATATTATATTTACACATATATGCATTTATAATATTTATATAAATATTAAATTAAATTTCCAATAGTTTCTGTACATAAACTAGTAGCAGAAATATCCTGAAGGCCTTTGAATACTGTCTTTGTCAATGAAAATTTCGTTTTATTATTATAAATATTAAATATAAATAAGTATTATAAAAAAACAATTTATAATATATAAATAAATATTACAGTTTTTTTCAATTTTCTAACATCCTTTTGTCCAATCTCTAGTCGCATTTTCAAAACTCTAGACACATAATTCACAACCGATCATCAAAATGCTAATTTTACAAAACACTTAACACTTTTTGCACATGCTTGGATACAATACACATGAACCAAAGATCTGTTGTTCACTGAACTGAAATCACCGGTTCAAAATGACACAACTTAACGTCAAAGCATTGCTATTTCACAATGCAGCGCACACATTACATCTGAATTGAGGGTCTATTCATTTCATTACAAAGATCTAGCCTGTTGTGAGTTTATTGTTTCATCATTAATTTTCACATTTTGTTTAATGATTCCAGTGCCTGTACTTTTCTCTCTAGTCTATTACACTGATGCATGAATGTGTGGAACCACAATGAAAGATGGCGTGTTGAAGCGTGTGGAAATGTGTGGAAGGGTGTGGAAATGTGTTGAAATGTGTGGAAACGTGTGGAAATGTGTGGAAACGTGTGAAAGCATGTGGAAATGAGTGGAAACGTGGAAATGTGTGGAAGTGTGTGGAAATGTGTGGAAGGGTGTGGAAATGTGTGGAAGCGTGTGGAAATGTATGGAAGCGTGTTGAAGCGTGTTGAAATGTGTGGAAACATGTGAAAGCATGTGGAAATGTGTGGAAGCGTGTTTAAGCGTGTGGAAATGTGTTGAAATGTGTGAAAGCGTGTGGAAATGTGTTGAAACGTGTGGAAATGTGTGGAAACATGTGGAAGCGTGTGGAAGTGTGTGGAAGCATGTGGAAATGTGTGGAAGCGTGTTGAAGCATGTCGAAGCGTGTTGAAGCGTGTGGAAATGTGTTGAAACGTGTGAAAGCGTGTGGAAATGTGTTGAAACGTGTGAAAGCATATGGAAATGTGTGGAAGCATGTGGAAATGTGTGGAAGCATGTGGAAATGTGTGGAAACATGTGGAAGCGTGTGGAAGTGTGTGGAAGCATATTGAAGTGTGTGGAAGCATGTGGAAATGTGTTGAAGCGAGTGGAAGCGTGTGGAAATGTGTGGATGCGAGTTGAAACGTGTGGAAGCGTGTTGAAGCGAGTGTAAGTGTGTTGAAGCGTGTGGAAGCATGTGGAAGTGTGTGGAAGCGTGTTGAAGCTTGTGGAAATGTGTGGAAACATGTGGAAGCGTGTTGAAGTGTGTGGAAGTGTGTTGAAGCGTGTGGAAGCATGTTCAAGTGTTTGGAAGAACGTTGAAGCATGTGGAAACATGTGGAAGTGTGTTGAAGCGTGTGGAAATGTGTGGAAGTGTGTGGAAGCGTGTTGAAGCGTGTGGAAGCGTGTGGAAGCGTGTTGAAGCTTGTGGAAACGTGTTGAAGCTTGTGGAAACGTGTTGAAGTGTGTGGAAGTGTGTTGAAGCGTGTGGAAGCATGTTCAAGTGTTTGGAAGAACGTTGAAGCATGTGGAAACATGTGGAAGTGTGTGGAAGCGTGTTGAAGCATGTGGAAACGTGTGGAAACACGTGGAAGAGTTTGGAAGCATGTGGCGTGTCAGAGCCTCACTTCTGAACACCCTGTCTGCTCTCCACTTTGCTGATGATTTTGATATTCTGTCCTTTGGCTCCCAGCGCCTCCCTCACGGCCCTCACGTCCTCTGCCGAGCGGATGAAGGAGGCGAAGATGATGTCCACGTCCTGCTCCACACCGAACAGCAGGTCAGATCGGTCGCGGTCGCTCACCGCCGGCAGGTTCACCAGCTCCGCCCCCGGCAGATTCACTCCTTTACGACTACCCAGAATGCCACCGTTCTCAACACGAGTCTCCACCCACGCCTCACCTGACAAAAGAAAAGTTCAGGAGACAAGAAATGCTTTATGCATCAGGGTGAAAAAAATTATCCATTTATGACCAAATAATCTGATGCATCATGAAATCTCCTTATGATTTAGTTTGATTTCATTATCCTTGTACGACTTGTTTTAAATCTGAAGACATGAATGTAGCTGGAAGAAGAATCAAACACATTTTAATTTATGCTGGTTTTAAACTTCATTGTCATGAAATGCAAAAAATCTCTGAAAAATATATATATTTTTAATCTCTATGTACGGTGATTGTGAGCTGATGTTTGTTTGCTTTACCAATCTCCAGGACTTTGAGAGCGAGGAGCCCGTCATCAATGAATACCCTGCTTCCTTTCTTGAGCACACGGGGCAGGCTGGGATAATCCATCCAGATCACCGACCCGTCCGTCTTATCACGATCCGCCTCTGCCGTCACCACCCGAACCAACGCTCCTCGCTCCAGCATCACCTCAGCGTCTGCAGACTGTCTCACACACACACACACTGAGAGTCTGACTCACTGTCACACACACACTCCTCTACTCAGGCCAGTCGTACCCCTTTAACCAGGCCGGTGCGGATCTCCGGTCCTTTGGTGTCCAGAGCGATGGCCACAGGCCTGTAGTACAGCGGGTCAGAGGTCAGCGTCTCCACCGCCTCACGGATGTTACGGATCGTCTCTCCATGATACTAGAAGAGACACGTGTGAGACGCTGAACGTGTGTCATACCGAGTGCACACACACACACACACACACACACAAACACCTCATGAGAGCCGTGAGAGAAGTTCAGTCTGGCGATGTTCATTCCAGCCTTCACCATCTCCTGCAGTTTGTTAACGGAGCAGGAGGCGGGGCCTTTTTTGAAATGATAAAATATAAAAAAATATTCAAAGAGATTTTCCTGTAGCTCAAACAATAGCAACACCAAGGTCATGGGTTCGATTCCCAGGGAAAGCATGAACTGATTCTGAGTAAATATGTACCTCAAATGAAATAATTATTGTATTGTGGCAATGCAGTGACTGACCGATGGTGCAGATGATGCTGGTGTTGCGCGCAGTGATTGGCTCCTGATCGATGTCCAGCAGACAAAGATGCTCCAGAAACGTGTCAGCCATCGATGCGTCCAACTGCTGCTTCTGAATGAAGGAGTCCGGCAGAGCCATGACTTCTGAGTAACGTCTGATACGAGCTGAGACAGACAGACAGAGAGTGAGAGATGGATAGAGAGACAGACAGATGGACGAACAGACAGACAGATAGAGAGACAGACAGACAGATTGACAGATGGATGGACAGAGATAGAGAGAGAGAGATGAACAGACATGGAAATCAGACAGACAGACAGAGAGTGAGAGAGAGATGGATAGAGAGACAGAGAGATGTTCGAACAGACAGACAGACAGACAGACAGACAGACAGACAGACAGAGAGTCAGACAGACAGACAGACAGACAGACAGACAGACAGAGAGACAGTCAGACAGACAGACAGACAGACAGACAGACAGACAGAGAGAGATGGATAGAGAGACAGAGAGATGTTCGAACAGACAGACAGACAGACAGACAGACAGACAGATAGACAGAGAGACAGTCAGACAGACAGACAGAGAGACAGTCAGACAGACAGACAGATAGATAGAGACAGAGAGACAGACAGATGGATGGACAGACAGACAAATGGACAGACAGACAGACAGACAGACAGACAGACAGACAGATAGACAGACAAAAAGACAGAGACAGAATCAGATTCATGTTCTTTCCATCAGAAGTATCACACAATGAGATGAACATTTTGACAAAATATTAAACATTCAATCATTTATTTTACCACACATCTCTCTGAAATACTAATATTTGTGTCTAGTGACTGTATAAACTGTATAACTGATGGTCGTCTCCATAGTCTCTGTGTCTCTCATGTCATGACACACTCAGAATAAACTCATTCACACTCAAATCAGTCTTTCATGTGATCTGCTGACTGATCTGATCAATAGCTCGCAGTGAGTCAGTGATGACGACGGTCTCTCTTCATGACTTCACTGGATGAAGATATCTGTGATGTTTTGTGATGAACAGATTTGTCAAGGAAGAGCAAATGAACAGAGAGAAGAGAGAAAGTGTGAAAATAGAGCAGACGAGTGTGTTTGATGTGCAAGTGACGAAACAAGATCCTGCAAAACACAGAAGAGAGAAACACATCTGCTGAGATCCTGTTCATGGAGAGAAAGACTCATGAAGAGAAAAGCAAGTCACAACACGTCAGAGACAGACAGAGACGGAGACGATGAATGAACAGAGTCAGTTCTGGATAAAAGAAATCCATGAGTCAGACAGTAGAGAGCTGAAGAAGAGTTCACTGCAGGTCACTGCAAACACACACTGGCACAAACACCTGATCACACATGCATCAGCCAATGACAAACAGGCATGTGTGGGCGGAGTCAGGAGTGAGTGACAGCTAATGGGGGTGTGATTTAAAAATTTTTTTTTTGTCATTTTGAGTTTGTATGCACACACACACGCACACTCGAACACACACACACACACACACACACACTCACGCACCCACGCACACACACACACACACACACACACACG